GTATTTCCTTCCATCCATTCTCTAGATTTCTTATTAGATAAACATTAGAACTTCTGGATTTATTCTCCATAGCACTTACATTTTTTGCTCATTGCTTTCATTCTTTCTTCTGCAATCCAGGAGAAAACTGAGCCTATATTTTAGCTTACTAATTCACCCTTCACTTCACCTTGAATTTGAGTAGCATGTTGATTAAGAGCCTGAGTTCAAAGCCTGGTTTAGCCATTTATTAATATTTCTTTGAGTAAGTTAATGAACCTTTCTATTTTTCAGTTTACTCATCTGTACAATGAATATACTAATAATATTGCCTATTCTGGTATAAAGGTTAAATATGTCAGTATATGGATGCATAGGAGAGTGCAGCATAGTAATACCTATTATTGTTCAATCTATTCATTAAAAAATGTAATAAACACATTCTTATATAATCCTCTTATGAATTTGTTATCATATAACCTAATTGTTTTATGAATATAAGATCCCATATTATTCATCTGATATATATATATATATATATATATATATATATATATATATATATATACAGCTTAAAGCTCCTTCTTGCTCTGATAAAAATAACAGTTATTTCTTGATTGACCTTAGTGCCTCTCTTTCATAGTAATAGATTCCCACAAATGACTGGTGATTCTTGGTTGTCTGCTCATTTAGTGTCTTCAAGTCTCATTTGCCTATCTGCTGTGCCGATTATTCTAATTCTGAGGCTTGTTTTGCTGATTGTGGTGGGAAGGGGAGAGACAGAACATGGTGCAGGGAATGGGATGCAAGTAGTGTATCTTCTGCAAGTTTGAGTTTTGCTCCATCTCCTGGCAATTGGTAAGCAGCTCCCTGGGGTTATACTGTCTCCTTGGACCAAACACCCATACTCACAGAGAGTTGGTATGGCTGAAGGTGAGCCCATCCACCTGCTGATTCTCATTATCTTGCTTAATTTTCTGCATATCACCAAGAACAAGCTTATTTATAGATTATTTACAAGGTTATTATTTGCCTTGGTGAAGGCAAACCTTCAGGGCCTTGAATTGTGTCTTGCACAGAGTAAATGTGAATATTTGTTGAATGAATGAATGAATGAGTGCCATTCTTTAGTTCCTCACCATATGTTATAGTAATACGTCCCTTATGTAATTATTGGGACACCATGTTAAAAGTGCTTGCTCCTTATAGCCATTGCTTTTTTTAAAAAAAATATTTTTTATTGATTTTTTTACAGAGAGAAAGGGAGAGGCATAGAGAGCTAGAAACATTGATGAGAGAGAAACATAGATCAGCTGCCTCCTGCACACCCCCTACTGGGGATGTTCCCGCAACCAAGGTACATGCCCTTGACCAGAATTGAATCTGGGACCTTTCAGTCCGCAGGCTGACACTCTATCCACTGAGCCAAACCGGTTTTGGCTAGCCATTGCTTTTAAACTTGAATTTGCCCTGTCACTCTGGTCCCACCTTTCATAGGGTTGTGGTTCTATTGGTGATCCAAATCCTGCCTGCTTTATTTAACCTAGGAAGGCTTTGAATTGATGGACACTGATGCTTTCTTTATGTTTTCTGGAATGCTAATGAATTTTTAAAAATACATTTTGTGTTATATTTAGGGTTTTGTGGTAACAGAAGATATACAGAAAGTGCTTTTAGAAGCTCCATGAGCAGTGTTACTAATTTCCACAGAGTTTATTTTAGTTGGAGCATGGATTTGACATTAAGTAACATTGAACTTAACACAGAGAACATAACCTATTTGGAATTCTTTTTCTTTTCTTTTTTTTTTTCTTAAACATGCTTTTATTGATTTCAGAGAGGAAAGGAGAGGGAGAGATAAACATCGATAATGAGAGAGAATCATTGATTGACTGCCTCCTGCATGTCCCCTACTGGGGATTGAGCCTGTCACCCGAGCATGTGCCCTGACTGGGAATCCAACAGAGACCTCCTGGTTCATAGGTCAACTCTCACCGACTGAGCCACACTGGCCAGGCTTTTTTTCTTTTCTTTTTAAGTATTTGTAAAATATTTTTTAAAATTTAAATATACAAAAAATATACAGAAAACAATATAATGCAGAGCCATTAGGGTAAAGATTTAGCAATTCCAAATATTTAGTAATATTTATCTGAGGTCTTTAAAAAAAAATAAATCATACATCTTGGCTGGAGCCTCCTTGGTGCCTTCCCATTCAATTTTCCTTCTTCCTTTCTCAGTATCCTGAAGTTGATCTGTATCCTTCCTGCCTGAGTCTATGCTTTTTATAGTTAACTACATATTTAGACAGATATAAACATAGTATAGTATTGTTCTGTAGGCCTTCAAACTGCACATAAATGATATCAATTGTTTCAGTCCAGAATACATCAAGAAGAAAAATCTCACTTTGGTCAAGTTCTGAAACTAAGAGCAGGCCTCAGGATAGAAGCCTGAGGCAGGCAGCGATAGCTAGCTAGAATTTAATGATGTTGCTTTATTTTCTCATTATATTTGTTTTAATGGCTTCCTTCTATTTTTAGCAAGCGTTGCTAGCTTTCCATATTCAGTCGTCCTTTATGTTCCCTTTTAAATTAAATGTAAAAAAAAGAAGTGTTGATTTAAGGGAAACATTAAGTAAATGTTAACAGTACAGGAGGTATAAAGACATGGCCAAAAAAACCCCCATAAAACTTAGAGGAGTTTTTACTGAAATAGCTGAAATTTGATACACACTTGACCTGAAGAATAAAGTTCAAGTGCCTTACGGGGGCATTTGAAGCTCTACCTGATCTGAACTCTGCTTTCTCCCCCAATCCAGTCACCACTTCACCTCCTCACAAACTGCTTAGCATTTCTTCCTTCTCTTATCAATGGGAGGTGCATTGGTGATTGTAACCTCTCCTTTTATGGTACTTCCTGCAGCCAGCACCCCAGCCTTCCACAGACTCTCTCACCTTCTTACCAGGAAGCCCTCCCCTATGTAGGACCCTTCACGTACTGGACATAGAGTTTCTAAGGTAATTCTAAATCCAAGGGGAGAATTTAGTGCCAGTATCACGGCATCCTCCTGGCCTGAAACAGCTCACTGTTTATATAACACCTGAAGGAAAGATCCATTTGTGATGCTTCAAATAAAGCCTGAGGTTTAAAATGCAGGTTCTCCAGGAGGGGAAAAATATTTATCTAGTTTTAAATATTTGGAGTTTTAGAAATAATTCTGTTCATAATTCTCAACGCTGGACCTTAAATCAGCAATTTTTTTTCAACACGGAGCCAATACATTAAAACTTGTCATCTAGGTTAAAGGTAAAAAAAGGGACAAAAAGAGGAGGAAAAAATAAGGACACTGACAGGAAACGATAGGTTTTTACGCCATTTCTTCATTACTTGGTGACTTGCTGCACATCATTGATTACCTCGAGCTAGGTGATTTTATTAAAAAGTGAGACCTCAAATGGAGCGTTCTGCATATAACAAAACGTTTGATGTTTGGATGGCAGAAGCTCCTCAACTCTTGCGGCCATTGAGATGTTGGAAAACAATTTTCAAGGTTCAATCTCCACAGTGCATATAAATAAACACAATGCTATTAACAAAAACAACACGGTGCAATCGGAACGCTGTTGAAAAAGTCTTCTAGTGTCTGCAATGAACTAACTGCATTGGCATTCATTCATTCATTCATTCACTCATTCATTCACATTATTCTGAAACTAATAGTCACGCTGCACGATTGAAAAGCCCTCGGTGCTTTTGGCCAGGGGTGAATTCTCTCCACAGAGGTGCAGCCAATGCTCCCATAGCCGCTGCTGTATTTGGGGGAAAGTTCAATCACACCGTTGCACCGTTTCTTCCTTTGTATTTCCAGCAGCCGCGGCTGGAGAGGAAGAGCGGTGCGGGGCAACCGGTGGTGGGGGAAGTGACTTCACCCCCGTGATCACAGAATGTCATCTTGGCCACTGTAAACATCCAGCCTTTACATGGAAGGAAAAAAAAAAAAATTGGGCGGAGTGAAATCGCTCTCTGGCCGTACATCTCGCCGGTCACATCTTCCCCGCCAGCCAAACTTTCTCCATCCATCGGGGCAGGCGGGCCGCGGGAACGCTGCCTGCAGGGGACATGCGGGGTCCGGAGGCGGCGTGTCCTGCCTTTGGAGTTGCCAGAAAGCACTCACGCTGCTATGGCAATCAGAGAAAGAGCTTCTCGTCTCCATTCGGTCGTTTCCGTAGGGAATTGCGGCACCAGCGGCAGGTCCTGGGTGTGGCGGTGCCAAGAGGAAGCTCCAATCCTAGCTTTCCTGCTTCTGGCAAACCTTCCCAGCCACCCGGGATCCCGGGGACCGCGGGCGGGCCGGACCCGACGGCCGGGGCACACCGCCCAGACGCGAAGCCGGGCGAACCGTGCGAGCGCGCCACCCCCCTCGCCCCCCCCCCCCCCCCCGCACTCCCCCAACGTCCGTGCGCGGTGGAGGCGGATCCCGGTCCCCGCACACAAGTCCTTATATGCACCGGTGGCAGCAGCCTGCGTGACTCCGGCCCCACCAACAATGAATGGGGGAGGGAAGGGCGTCGCTTTGTGCACCCCCCCCCCCCCCGCATTTAAAAAAAAAATTTTTTTTTTGAGTGCTGGAGCATTGGAACCCTTCCGAGAAACCACCCCGATGCGATCGAATGGCCCTATGTCTGCAGCGCGCGACTTGGACACACAAAAATAAATGTGTATCCAAATAGCCCTGCTTCCCCCGCGGTAACAAGCACGGCGGGGCTCCGAAGCGGCTCTGCAGATGCAGCCGGATTAGCCCGCAAGCAAACGCCGGCGGAAGGGTGCCTGCCCTCCCCTCCCCCAGCCGCGCCGGTGCGGAGGGACCGGGTCAGGAAGCGTGGCCTCTCCCTCCCGAGTTGGAGACCACGCCTCCCCCCCTTCCCCCCCTCCCCGCGCGCCCTTACTCCGCCCAGGAAGCGGTGATCGACAGCTCGGTGTGGCTCTCCACCCCCACCCCCAGCTGAGTGGAGGAGTTGATGTGTCTCATTATAACAGCCAATGCAGCCGCCATCCACGCACAGGCGAAGCAGCATGGCCCATTTAAATACACCCACGCAGCCCCGGCGCCCTTAGCCGATCGGGGCGCGCAGCCCACACGCATCGCGGCTCCCGGCTTCGGAGACCCACGCGCGGCCGGGCTCCCCGGACCCGGCGGCCAGGCGCGCGGAGGAGGATCGGGATCAGGAGGATCGGGGTCCGGCGGCGCTGTGGATCGATCCCGTGGGGGCGGCGTGGGGGCTGGGCCCGGGGGCCTTGGGCGCGACACCCGCATGAAGAAGAAGACGCGAGTGAAATAGACCCCAAGGTGGCCTTTCCCAGGGAGGACGCACAGCCTTCGGGGTGGTGGTTTTGGTCCATTTCTCCGGCGAAGAAGTCGACATGGCGAGCGACTCCCCGGCTCGCAGCTTGGATGAGATCGATCTCTCGGCTCTGAGGGTGAGCAAGAACAGGTTTATTTTTATTTTTATTTATTTTTTTCCTCCCGTGATTTGGGTCAGGGTGCAGGGGCTCGGGGGGCGCGGATTGGGGCTGGGGTTTGGTGGGCTCGAGACGGGCAAGGACGAGACGGAGGGGACCTGGAGTCTGGGTTGGGAGCCGCTGGGGTGGCTCTCGGCTAAGATCCCCGAGGCGGGGGCTGTGCACTCCGGTGGTTGTGGTCGAGAACCCTCTGGGAGCGCGCGGAGCTGATGCCAGTTCCGTCCGGAGCGGTGTGAGCGCGTTAAAATAAAAGGCTGGCGTGTGTGTGTGTGTGTGTGTGTGTGTGTGTGTGTGTATGTGCATACACAAATCCCGGGCAGCCGTCTCGTGCCGAGGCGCGGAGACCTGCCTGTCTCTTTCTGCAATAAAAAAAGAATAACAACGGAGCGAATAAAGGTGCTGGCCCCCACGCTTTCCAGCTCCCTGCAAGATGACATTGGGAGCCTGGCGGTCCCCACGGGGCGCGAACCTGCCTCTCTAAGTGGGGGGGGGGGGGGAGCTATTGCTCTGCGGGTCTTGTGGGTGGCAGCTGCCTCCCCTTCCCCCTTTCTGCCTCCCGAGCCGGACTCGCTCTCAGCGCTGTCTTAGGGACCAGCCTGCGCTCACCTTTATGTGTGGTTCTCGCTCAGCCCTGCCTGTGCTTGCTGACTGAGTGGCTGTGACATTTCAGTTTTTATGGCTGAACTTAAGCAGGTGAAAAGGGATGGGTTCTCTGTCGTCCCCCAACCCCCCCCCCCCCCCCCCCAATCAGACCGGAACTCCCGGGAGTGTGTGTGTGGTTTCCCTGTGTCTGTGGCCAGCCCTTTGTGGAGCCCTTCCCAGCCCCTAGCCCCACGGAAGCTCTGCGTTTACCTTCTTCTCGCGAACAGCCTCAGACACCGTTTCATTGTATCGACTAAGACATCACCCCTATAGGATCCATTTTGCTGTTGTGTTGAGGCCAGGATACCAGGAATCTGAGGGCAGCAGCCTCGACGCCTCCCCATCCCCCCTTTATCCCCCAATCCCAATCCACTCCTTCTGGGAAAGGGGGGCAGAGCTTTCTTGCCATTTTAATTAGATGATGCCTCCTGGGAAGGGGGTGAGGGGTGGGGGGTGGCGACAGCAGCGGGGGGTCTGAGGAGGATGGGACGCCAGTTTAAAGGTGGCATCTTCCTCTCCTGAATCAAAAATAAAAAAATTTAACACACACGCGCGCACACACACACACACACACACACACCTGCATTGTCCATGACGCACGGAGGGGTCGGTGAGACCACACTGATGGTGGCTGTCAACACAGCAACATGAAGGAGGAGGGGTGAAGCTTGCAAGTTCACACGCCCTCCGGAGGGAATACCTTGTTAGACTGATGCTACATCTTGGGGGTTATAGTCCTGAATCCTCAGTACTTCTCCCCACATCGCCTACTCCTCCTCGAGGATTAAAGAGCTGCTGCCTTTATGGTCCAAGTGTCACTTTTTCTGTAGTCTCATTAATCCTCTCTCCCTACCTACCCCACCCCCCCTTTTTAACTCCTCCTCCCCCTCTCCTTAATCCTGGCATCCAAGAGGTGAGGTTTCTGCAAAGCAGTTTAAGGGGTCGGGAAGGAACAGAGATGCCATTTGTAACGGGCTTTTTTTTTTTTTTTTTTTTTTTTTTTTTTTTTTTTTTTTGATAGTTGGGTAGCAAAAGCTCATTCATGCGTTATTACAGTAAGCTGTCTATTTCCCTGGCGCCGAAATGCCACATGCAGAGCGGGTGGGGGGTTGGTAACAGGGTGGGTGCTTTTGGCTGAATCTGTGGCTTCCTGCTTTGCAGATTGTGCATTTGCCCTACTTTCGGGGCTGGGAGTTGCTGCCAGCTGGTTAATCAGGTGAATGGATGGCTCAGACTTCAGGGAGGGGAAGGTGGCAAAGGCCAGGGAAGGCGCCTGAACAATGGGCCAAGCTTGTGATTCCCCTGAGCCGGAATCTCGGGCCCGTAGCTCCGCTAATGGAAAGCGCCCTGATGTGATTTTTAAGTCCTGCTTGGCGGGAGGTGTCTCTCCTGGTTTTTCCTGGGGAAGGTTTTCCTGAGATACTCAGCACAGAGCCTGCAAGGCTTAGGAGCAACCATGAGGGCTCCCCGGCTGGCCTGGAGTGCGATTCACACATGGGAAACCTGCACTCCAGAGAGCTGTATTTTGAAAATATATCTTTGCAGGATGCACTGAAAATTGCTCTTTGTGGCTTGGGCTGAGTGCTCTGGCCCTGTGTTTCTGCTTTGCAGGAGGTGTGAAAAGAGGGAGGGCCCTGGTTAGCCCAGGAGATTGGAGGATTTAAATGCAGATGTGGAGACAGTTTTGGGGCTGGGGTCTGCCACCAGTTTCATTGTGAGTGAGGTGTGCGGGCCAGGAGTGGGTCCACATAGGAAATCTCTGCAAATCAGAGGGCAGATCATCTGTCTCTGTCTGTCTCCCCCAATTAGGAGAAGTGGGCTCACCTAGATGATAGGTCTCATTTGTTCCCAAATTCTCAGTAAAGCCTGCCTGCTGAGAACCTCCTGGGAATGCCTGACCCCTGAAATGCAGCCAAGGTCAGTGGCTTCTACGAGAATTCGCTGCAGCCTTACCAGTCCCTTGCTGTTTCGGTGGCTCTTTAATGTACACAATCAATGCTCTTTTTGTAAACCCCGTGCTCAGTGTATTAAAAGCGGATCCTGTCTGAAGAGGCCTTTTTTCCTTCTCATTTTGGGGGCTCATTGTTCTCAGTCAGTGATCCCAGACTGGATCCCATCTAAATTTCCCCCAAATAGCAACAATGCATAACTTAAACCAGAGCGACCAGTGACAGCACCAATGATTTAAATTATGCAAGGTGTGGGTGGTTTTTAAAAGTCCCATCAAACAGGGTGTTTGTTTAGGACAGAGGTGATTTTAATACAGTATTATTAATCCTGATTTTTTAGAGCTCTGGAGATGAACTAAGTTTTGGGGGGAGGATGATGGATTCAAAGACTTAGAGCTGGAAGAAAACTGTAGAACACTTAGTCACTCCTGTCATCTAATACGTGGTAAGCTGAAGCCCAGGGACGCGAAGTCTATCGCCCAAGGTCACACAGCCCACACCCTCTTCCCTCTGAGGTGGCTTAGGGGAGAGTATCTAGGTTCCCTGACTCCTCACTCAATGCTGTTTTCTCTAAGTCGCATTGTCTGTGGTTGAATCAGAAATCAATAATACATTTTCTGTCTGGTCACACACACACAAAAAAAAATGGCAGAGGAGTAATTTCACCAAGGGTCATGAAATTTTATATCCAAGAATAAAGTCCTTTGTGCAGGTAACCTCATTAATACATAAGCTTTGGAGTTATAAGGTACCTTTGGAATTCATCTTGTCCAACCCTCCCTCAATTCCTCCTCTGCAGGGAAATGACTGTCTAAATTGTCTAGGACAGATGGTTGTCCTGTGTGGTACCCTCTCTCCGTAACCCATCTCCATCTGAACATGTCCCAGGGGTCATCTAGACGTACACATTATTCATATGTCTCTGCATATGACATTTACAGCTTCTAGGTATGTTTTGTGTAATCTTTGTGGGTACTTATATAAAATATTATGGATATAAACTATCCAGTGGGTATGTGAAATGTGTGTATACAGAAAACATTCTACTCACTCTAACCCAGGGCTTGAGTCACTCTTCCTTCAAGACATCGCTGTATTAAAACAAATGAAATTTGCCTCCAGCATGCTTTATTTCATATGAGGTGAGATCAGCCCAGAAAGCTTTTTGGAGATTAGCATATATCTGAATCTGAGCATTTTGGCTGTCCTGAGCTTGGCCCAAAGAGCTAGGCATTCAGGGCCAAGCTTGGTCATTGCTGACTTCATACTCTTAAGTTTCTGCCAGGACTCCCACTCACTTTTCTACTTGAATAGAATTAAATGACCTCTGCTTGTCTTTTCCCCAACCCTTCACTCCCTCTGGGCCTAGCTATTTCCTTTCTCCATCAAAACCTAGAATTTAAGGGGTAAGAGGGAGGTTGAAGAGGGTAAAGGAGGAGGGGAATAAATGGCAATGGTAAGAGACTTGACTTGGGTTGGTGAACACAATACAGTATACTAATGATGTATTGTAGAATTGTACACCTAAAACCTTTATAATTTTTTTAACCAATATCACCCTAATAAATTCAATAAAAATCAAAATCCCTAGATTTAAGAATTGACTTCTGGGAGACCTGCATACATCTTTTCCACTATACTTTTCATTGCTTGAATTATAAATGATGTGCAATATGTTTTTTTTTGCCTGATTATTACCCTGTTTCCCCGAAAATAAGACAGTGTCTTATATTAATTTTTTCTCCCAAAGTTGTGCTAGGTCTTATTTTCAGGGGATGTCTTATCTTTCACACGCTAGGTCTTATTTTCGGAGGATGTCTTATTTTCGGGGAAACACAGTAGGCCAGAAGTTTGGTCTTGCTCATCTTTGAGTCCATAGTCCTAGTTAGTTGAATAAATGAATAAATGCATGAATGAGTGAGTGACTGAATGAAGTGAACTGAACACAGTTCTATGTTCGTGTCTTATTAGCTGTGGAATGATCACAATTGCTTGTCTTCCTCATACACTTGTTTCAGAAATCAAATTATTTACAGCAATGCTTTGAAAACTATAAAGCACTATACTAGTATGCTAGTCCATGATTAAATAGAATTTTATGAGAAAGTTGATTCTATCAACATTTGATTCCAATGATTACACCTAATTAAAAGTGATATAGAGGAAAAGATTCTACAGCTTTTTAATAGTATCTCTACCTTTTTGTTTCAATATGACCTTGTATGTTTCTCTGATGGGCTGGGTTAACCTTTGACCTAGTATCAGCATTTATTACATATGAGGTGAGCTCAGGCCAGAAGCTTTTGGGAGATTAGCACATTTCTAAGCCAGTAACAATATCAGCATTATTCATTAAATAAAACATTC